AATGGGGTGGGGAGAGGGGAAAGGGGATGGGAAGAGGGGATGGGGTGGGAAAGGAGGAAAAGGGGTTTGGGAGGTTGGGAAGAGGGAGAAAGGGGAAAGGGGAAGAGGGAGAAATGGGTTTGGGAGGTTGGGAAAAGGGGGTTTGGGAGCAGGGAATTGGATTTGGGAAGAGGGGAGGGAACTGGGGGTGGGGATTTGGGCACGTGGAGGGGTTCGGGGATGGAGAGGGATTTTCCCTCTCCCCCTTTTCCTCTCCCTTTCCCCCCTTTCCTCCTCCTCCCTCCCTCCTTTCCCCCTCAGTCCCCCCCTGCCCTGATCCCAATCCCTGTTTTCCAGCTGGCCTATGGGCAGGACGGGTCCCTGAAGGGTTTTGCCGTCCTGGAATTGGAGTCCCCGGAATGGGCCGAGCGAGTCCAGGAGGCCACAGACGGGATTCCCTTGGCCGGGAATCACATCCGGGTCTCCTTCTGCGCCCCGGGACCCCCCGGCAGGAGCACCCTGGCTGCCCTCATCGCTGCCCAGGCCACGGTGGGCAGGAATTCCCGGGAATTCCTGGGAAGGGGGGAGCACAGGGAATGGCAGGAATCGAGGGAGTCAAGGGGATGGAGCGTGGGAATTGAGGGAATATGGGGATTAGGGAATGGTGAGAAACTGGGAGACCAAAGGAATCCCATCCCTTGGCTGCCCTCATCGCTGCCCAGGCCACGGTGGGGAGGAATTCCTGGGAATTGGAGAGCCCAGGGAATTGAGGGAGTGTCGGAATTCAGGGAGTGCGGGAATGGGGGGAGTCTGGGAATTGAGGATGTGCAGGAATTGAGGAAGCTCAGGGATTGGGGGACCCACAGGGATTGGGGGAAGCAGAGGGATTGGGGAAGCAGAGGAATGAGGGATCTACAGGAATGGGGGAACAGCTGGAATTAGGGAAGTGCAGGGATTGGAGAACCCCAGGAATTGGGGAACTGAAGAAATGAGGGAACCAAAGGAATTTGCGAGACACAGGAATTCAGGAACCAAAGGAATTCGGGAACCACGGGATTTCTGGGGGGATCTGGGCCTGGGCTCCTGCTGTTTTTGTGCTCCCAGGGCCGTAATTCCAGGATTTTTCCCGTTTTTCCAGGCCCTGAACCGCGGGAAGGGGCTGCTTCCCGAGCCCAGCATCCTGCAGATCCTGCAGAGCCTCGGGAATCCCACGTCCCTGCAGCTCCTGCTGCCCGCCCTGCTGCACCCCGGGAAGCAGGGTAAGGGATTCCCGGGAATTCCGGGGGGGAAAACTGCCCGGGGAGGGAATTCCCAACCCAGAGACTTCCTCCCGAGTCTCTTCCCAGCAGGAATTCTGGGAGCTGCCCCTTCCCTGCCCCTGGTGCCCAACCCGGCCCTTCCCACGGCGCTGCTCCAGCTGGCCCTGCACGGCCATTCCCAGGTAATTCCCACCTGGAATTCCCCACCTTCTGCCCTGCACGGCCATTCCCAGGGAATTCCCACCTGGAATTCCCCACCTTCTGCCCTGCACGACCATTCCCAGGGAATTCCCACCTGGAATTCCCCACCTTCTGCCCTGCACAACCATTCCCAGGGAATTCCCACCTGGAATTCCCCACCTTCTGCCCTGCATGGCCGTTCCCAGGGAATTCCCACCAGGAATTCTCAAATCCGGGGTTTTTCCCAGAGAGAAAAGGGAGGGTTGAATCTTCCCAAATCTCTTCCCAAACCTTTTCCCACTTTTCCCAAACCTCTTCCCAAACCTCTTCCGAAAACTTTTCCCACTCTTCCCAAACTCCTTCCCAAACTTTTTCCCACTCTTCCCAAACCTCTTCCCAAGTTTTTTCTACCTTTTCCCAAACCTCTTCCCAAGTTTTTTCTGCCTTTTCCCAGACCTCTTCCCAAGCCTCTTCCCAATCCTTTTCCTCCTGGGTTTTTCCCGCCTTTTGTTGGTTTTTTTCCCTGTTTTTTTTCTGGCCTTTCTCCCAGAAGGATTTTTGGGAATTTCAGGGGAATTCCAGATTTCCCTGTTCCTGCAGCTCCAGGATTGGATCCAGCAGGAAAAAAAACCCAAACCCTTTTCCCTCCCCAACCCTTTTCCCAATCCCAGCCCTTTTTCCGCCACGGATCTCCCGTGGGATAATCCGGCTTTTCCCGACCTTATCCCGCCTTTTCTGCTTCCAGAAACCGGGAATTCTGGGAGATTCCCCGCTGGGCTCCCTCCCCCTGGGCCTGGCCCCGGCCCAGCCCCCCGGGAAGCTCCTGGGAGACATTCCCGCAGGTAATTCCCGGAATTCCCACAGGTAATCCCAGGATTCCAGCCCCCCCAGGGAATCTCCCCTGGGATTGAGGGAATTTTCCCCCTTTCCTGGGATTTTCTGGAGGGGGGGAGGAGCAGGGGGGGTTTGGGATGAGCTTTTCCAGGTGGGAAAAGGATCCAAGGATCCCTCTCCTTGTTTTTCCCCCCTCAAACCTCTTCCCACTTGGATTTTTTTCCCTCTTTCTGGGTGGTTTTCCCACCTTTTTCCTGGGAATTCCCTCTTCCTGAGCCCCCACAAAGTGGTTTTTTTTGAGGAATTCTCTCTTCCTGCAACCCCTAAAAGGGTTTTTTTTTTGGGAATTCCCTTTTTTTCTGGGGGAATTCCTATTCCTTTTTTTGGGGGGGATTCCCTGTTCCTGCACCCCCCAAAGGGCATTTTTTTGGGAATTCCCTCCTCCCAGAACCCTGAAAAGTTTGGGGTTGGGGTTTTTTTTTCAGAAATTCCTTTGAAATCTTTGGGAATTTTTTGGAAATTTTTTTTTATTTGGGAATTCCTTTGGAATCTTTGGGGGGAAATTTTTTTTTTTAGGGGAGGGGGGGGAAGGAATTCCTTTTTCCCACAAAAAAACACCATTTTTCCCGGGAATTCCCTCCTCCTGCCGCCCCCGGGATTCACTCCCGGGTGGGATCCGCGGTCCCTTTTCCAAGGAAAACCCTTTTCCAAGGACAAACCCCTTCTCCCTGTGCCTCCAGGAGGGCCCTTGCCGGGGGACCTGGCGCAGGGACACGGCAAATCCCCCCGGGATTCCCACCGGGAATGTGGCCCTGGCGTCGTTCCTGGCCCAGGTGGGGGCGGAGCGGGACAAACTGGGATCGGGATCGGGATCATCCGGGACCCCCCTGGGAGCCCCCCCCCGGGCTGGGACACGTCGGAGCCGTTCCCAAATCCAAGCAGGGAGAGGTGAGGAGAGCCCCGGGATACGGGATGGGGACAACTGGGAATATGGGAACACCCCGAAATATGGGATGGGGACACCTCGGGATACGGGATGGAAACATTCCAAAATATGGGACGGGAACACCCTGAAGTCTGGGATGGGAACACCCTGGGATAGGGGATGGGAACACTTCAAAATGTGGGATGGGGACCCTGAAATCTGGGATGGGGACATTGGGATGGGACTCCCAACTCCGGGACCCCCCAAACCCCCCTTGAACCCCCCAACCCCCCCCGTCCCCCAGGTGTCCCCGCTGGGGGGGCCCCCCCCAAGGAATTCCAGCTGCCCCTGAACCCCTTCCTGAACCTGCGGAGCCTCCTGCCCGGCCCAGGTGAGGGAAACTGGGAAAGGGCCTTTTTTGGGATCATTCCTTCCCTTTCCCCCTATTCCTGACCCTCCTGCCCGGCCCAGGTGAGGTTGGAGCTGGGAAAGGGCCTTTTTTGGGATCATTCCTTCCCTTACCCCCTATTCCTGACCCTCCTGCCCGGCCCAGGTGAGGGAAACTGGGAAAGGGCCTTTTTTGGGATCATTCCTTCCCTTCCCGACCCTCCTGCCTTTTCCAGGAGCCGCTTCCAAAGGGTTCCAGGGCAAACCCAGTGCCCTGGGGGGGCCCCCCGCCCCCCCCCCGGATCCCCTCCAGCGCCCCCCCCCTGCTGCCCCCCCCCCTCCGGAGACGCCTTCGGATTCGACTTCCAGCCGGTGGGTCGGGAATTCGGGGGGAAATCCGGGGATTTTGGGAGGGGGTTGGATTTGGGAGACTCCCTGAACTCCCTGCTTTTCCTGGGACTTTGGGTTTCCAGCTGCTGGGTGGGATTTTGGGGTGAAATCCAGGATTTTTGGGGGGGGAGAGTTCAGACTTGGGACACCCCCTTATGGGGCTTTGGACTTCCAGGTGGTGGGTTGGGAATTTTGGGGTGGAAACTGGGATTTTGTGGGGGTTTTAGTTTTGGGAGACTCCCTGAACTCCCTGCTTTTCCTGGGGCCTTGGAATTCCAGCTGCTGGGTGGGATTTTTTCTGGGAATTTGGGAGTTCCACCTTTGAACCTCCCCCTGTTTTTCCCCAGCAGGATTTGGGCTCCAGGATTTTCCCCCAACCCCGAGACCCCTCCGGGCCCCTCCTGGGGGGCTTCGGGCCCAGCAGGAACAAGGTAAAAAAAACCTTTTGGGGTCTCCCCCATTTTTGGGGGGGATTTTGGGGCTCCTCCTTATTTTTGAGGGGGATTTCAGGGGGGATTTGGGGATTTTCCCCCTTTTTTGGGGGGATTTCCGGGGGGATTTGGGGATTTTCCCCCTTTTTGGGGGGATTTCCGGGGGGATTTGGGGATTTTCCCCCTTTTTTGGGTTGATCTCAGGGCTCTGCTCCCTTTTTAGGTCTCGTCCCCCTCCCCTGGCTTTGACAGGGGGGTTTTGGGGCCCCCCCTGCCCCCCTTTTTCTCGGGCTCCCCCAGTTCCTGCTTCTCCAGCGGGATCCAGGCCGGGCTCAAGCAGAGCCACCTCAGCAAGGTGAGACCCCAATTTGGGGGGACCCCCACCCCCCTTTCCCTGCATTTATCCCCTTTTCCCCTCATTTATCCCCTTTTCCCTCATTTATCCCCTTTTCCCCCATTTATCCCCTTTTCCCTCATTTCTCCCATTTTTCCCCTCATTTTTCCCGTTTTCCCCTCATTTATCCCATTTTCCCCTCATTTATCCCATTTTCCTCTCATTTATCCCATTTTTCCCTCATTTATCCCCCTTTCCCATCATTTATCCCGTTTTTTTCTCCATTTCCTTCCATTTTCCCCTTTCCCCCTCATTTATCCAATTTTCCCCCTCATTTATCCCCTTTTCCCCTCATTTCTCCCGTTTTCCCCTCATTTTTCCCATTTTCCCCTCATTTTTCCCGTTTTTCCCTCATTTTTCCCCTTTTCCCCCCATTTCTCCCATTTTTCCCCTCATTTATCCCCTTTTCCCCTCATTTATCCCCTTTTCCCTCATTTTTCCCCTTTTCCCCTCATTTCTCCCGTTTTTCCCTCATTTATCCCATTTTTCCCTCCAGCCCCTCGGGATCCCCCCGAATTCCCCGGAGCCCGTCCTGCCCTTGGGACCCTCCACCCCCCACCCCAAGGTACCAAAACCCCCAAAACAGCCCCAAAAAAAGGGTTGGAGGGGGGGTTTCCCCCCTTTAAAGGGGTGGGATATTTTGGGGGGAAAGGGGCGGGAATGGGTCACCCCTGAAATTTTAATAACAAAATAAATTCAATAACAAAAATTTTAATAACCAAGAATTTTATTAATGAAGCTTTAATAACAAAATTTTTAATAAAATTTCAATAATGAAATTTCAGTAACGAAATTTTAATAACAAAATTTTCATGAACAAAATTTCATGCACAGAATGTTGATAATGAAGTTTTAATATCAAAATTTTAATAAAACTTTAAATGTCAGAATTTTAACGAACAAAATTTTGACAACAAAATTTTAATAAACAAAATTCTAATAAACAATTTTGATATCAAAATTCTAATAAAATTTTAACAACAAGATTTTAATAGCAAGACGAAAATTTTAGTGGCAAAATTTTAACAAAAATTTGAACGACATAATTAATTATTAAATATTAATAGTTTAAAAATTAATGGAATTTTAACAAAATTTTTAACGGCAAAATTTTAATAAAAATTTTAGCAGCAAAATTTTAGTAGCAAAATTTTAGCAAACAAAATTTTCATAACAACATTTTAATAAAATTTTGAGAGGCAAAATTTCAATAACAGAATTTCATTCCTTTCAGTTGTATCCGTGTCCATTAATTGTTCTTTATTGTAATTGCAGCCATTGATTTCTCACTGTTATTAATGTCATTGATCAGTTCACTGTTCCCTTTGGGATGTTCCCTCCCAGGTGGCCCCGGGGGGGCACAAACGCCCCTTTTCCCACCTTCTGCCGTCGCCGGAGCCGAGTCCCGAGGGTTGTTACGTGGGACAACATTCCCAGGGGCTGGGGGGCCACTACGCCGACTCCCACCTCAAGAGGAAGAGGATCTTCTAGGGGAGACCCCCCGAAAACCACCCCCAAAAAACACCCCCCAAAAAACCCCCCCAAAAACCCCAAATCTGGGAAGGAAAAGGGGCCCCCGGGGGGGGAGTTTTGTACCTTTTATTTTTGGTCTTTTCTCGCCCCTTTTGGAGGGTTTGTAAAAAGGGGTTTTTTTCCTCCCCCCAGAGTTTCACCCACGCACCCCCCACGGAGATTTTGGGGGGTTTGGACACCGCCCCTAAAAAGATTTTGGGGT